CTGACTTAGCAATTATTTACATACAACTTGGTCGAACTAATATCAGATACAATTAATAGAAATTTGTTCTTTTTTCTCAAACTTCAAGTTAGTAATCGAAGCTTGTGTGTTGCACCAAAGGGTGGTTATACCGGCTATACAGATACAGAAGCTGGTGTGTTACGCTGAAGGGCGGTTATACCTGCTATACAGATACAGAAGCTGGTGTGTTACACCAAAGGGCGGTTATACCGGCTATACAGATACAGAAGCTGGTGTGTTACCCTGAAGGGCAGTTATACCGGCTATACAGATACAGAAGCTGGTGTGTTACGCCAAAGGGCAGTTATACCGGCTATACAGATACAGAAGCTGGTGTGTTACCCTGAAGGGCAGTTATACTTATACTGGCTATACAGATACAGAATAATAAAGCTGTTCATATATATCATGGAATATTATAACCAAAATTGTGTACAGGGTATTGCGAAAATGACCTTTGTAACCAAAGAGCAAAGCTAATCGGCTGCTAACACATTAACATTCAGGATTTTGATAGATGATGCGCTAAGGTCACTACAGAGTACAAAGTCATCCATCTACTACAGTTGTGCTTATGTTTAACTATCTGATTCCGACTGAAACGCATATGGGGAAGACACTGATAAAGTATAGAAAGGTGACCCAAAATAACCTACATACTGGTACAACTTGATGATATATTCACATATTATATATGTCTATATGTACATACTCTCAGGGCATGAAATACCACCTGTATATTTAGGTTAGTGCAGGTATTTCTAAACCCACTAGTTTAGTAATGTACTAGTAGGTGTATGTAGATTTTTATTTGCTGCACTGACTGTTATCACCTCTGAAGTATAAAAGAAATAATGGAAATGGTTTCTGAACAGTTTTTAGTTTAGTTCCATACTTCCTAAATTCTGAATGGTGCAGGTAACATTTGTCTGGTCCAGGTAATTTCAAATGTTACACCAGTGCAGGTATGCAAAAAAAAAAAAGATTTTGAGCCCTGACTACGCACTCTTCTCTTAATTTCCATTAGCTATATATAGATATGCTTGAGCTTCTGGATTTGTGGAGATTTTTCTTTCATACTGGTAAATAATAAATGATAGTCTTCTCCAATTCTGACTCAGGCCTAGTTTTTTTTCAAAGCAGCATTATGTAAAAATTGTAACATTAGGATGATACAAAAAGTCAACTCTGTGGACACTCCCTTACAAAGTACTAGTAAGTAGAATTGAAGTACAATGATATCACTCCGATTGAAAGTTGGGTGGCGCGGTTGTCAGCCACCTTTAACGTTTTGGTACTAGTGCTCCCAAGTTCAAGCTTGGTATTCGACGTGGCCGGAGACACCCAACAGAAAATTGTCCTTTCAAATCTAAATGTTTACTGTCTTGCAGTTGTGCATTTTGTGATGGTATCGCAAAATGGACAGTTTATTGTAAATGTCAGCAATGATGTTAAAAAAATAAATATACATAGTCAATAGGCAATTATATTTATGATGACTTTTCAAATGAAGAAAATTACAAAACAAAATGTTGTCTGATGCAGCTTTAACTTTTAAGCAACGAAAACTTTGATGCATTTGTCTGACTAACATTCCAAAATAACAATAGCAGGCCCTTTTAAGGTCTTTCATTTTTTATTGGAGTGTAAATACGTAATTATGTCTGCTGATAAAATATGTAGGGTTTCTACTCCGCTTTTAATGGTTCCTTTTCAAATGAGGCATTAGGAGAAACACTTTGTGAAACATTCATGGAATACCAGAAAATTGATTTACAAAAAAAACAAATAACTCTTTCATACTTTTGTCTTTATGTCAAAACAACATAGCCTAAATGTACAAAATACATTGTAACTAAGTGACAAATTTCACTTTTCTTCCCTAACCAACAATAATAATACAATACTCCTGCTTACCATATAATTTACAATGATTGAAGGTCAAAAACTTTCACAAAATCGTCTATCTTTGAATATCATAATTCGTCAAACCACTAATACTAATAGCTCCATAACTCTAACTATGCATATCAAAACCGGTTTTACTTGACTGACCAAATCCTATGCCCCCCATATAACTGTCACCAGTTTGAAAAGAAGACATACTACTGGAAAATGTCAAAGTGTGTGCATACCCTACTTAATGCAATTAATCATGGAAATATAACAGGTGTCTCAAACAAAGAGGTCCATTGGTTGACAGCTACTAGAAAAAACAAACAAGCCTTTCATGTTGGGTGCTAAAAGTAGTCTGAAATGTCAACGCATAATATTATTTTTGATGTCCTTTATTTGTATTTCGGTCTACAGCAGTGATAGAATTTGCAGACACATTTTCAACATTGCAGAAGAAAAATTAATCGAGCAACCTGCAATTTTGCCGGCTGAAAAAATTAGGCTAGGGCAGTGTGGGTTCAATGGTGTTGGCCTCTGTTTAGCATGTACATGTATTTTTCTGCATGTATGCCGAAATTCATTTTTGGGAATAGGTGCATTGGTGCACCCAACCTAAAAAATTGGGTGCACAAAAAAATTTTGGGGTGTACCATATAAAACAAAATCTAATTACAGATCTTACTGCTCCTCTTCTGAGCTTGAATCTGAAATGGAGCTAACTTCAAAATCTTAAATAACTGCAAGAATATCCTGCACTATTCTACAGTTGATGTGTACAAAAATACCTACAAAAATATTTGGGTGCACCCACAGAAAAAAATTGGGTACACAGCTCCAATTTTGGGTGCACAAAGGTGCACATGCACCCAGTATTTCGAGCCCTGTCAAGTTAAACAAAATTTTGACATTCTACAATATTGCAGACCAATAAAAAAAGTATTTCTACCACTGGTATAGCTCGAAGGCACAAGGATGACAATGTTTGTTTAGAATAAGCACTGAGGTGAGAATTCTATAATGGGAATGCTGACATCACCTTGCATGTAAACACAAGGTCGGTGGTGTGATGGCTTAGGGGGAGGGGCCACACTATAGGCACTATAGTATAGGATGCTAGCAAAATGCAGGGCCCTCACCAGAATTTTTTCACCCTCACAGCATATAGCCTCCGTAGCAGGCTTATAGAACTGGGGTTTTGGTGGTCTTCGGCTGTTTTCTGATTAGCCCAGTTCTAAAAACGGGGGTAATTCAACCAGGCCGGCTATGTTGTCTATATGCAATCAGAAAATAGCACATAAAAGCTCCCAAAGACCCTGAAGATCCCAAACCCCCAGTTTTTGGCATGCTAGTATGGAGGCTACAGAGCATAGGGGTCAGGCAAAGGGACAACTTTCTATGGTGCATCGAGCCTCAAAGACATACTAGAAGCCACAGTACAGGGTCTGGTATTCTCATAACCCTCTGAGACACCATTTCCTGCTCATAGAGGGAAACATTTTTGTTAAGTTATATGTTTTCCATCTGTCCCAAAAAAGAAACATCCCTACATTGAGTGAAAGACAGTGTAGCTATAGGGGGCTAAATCACAGCGTAGGGGGCCCTACACTCAAAAGTGACATGGCTCTGTCCTTGACAAAATAAGGGCAGCTCGACACCAAATATAAAATCTATAAACAATGACATAACCGTCGCACCCATGTTTACATGCTACACCTCTAAAGTAAACGTTATGAATAAACAAGTGAGAGGTATAATGTTGTCTATACTCTTTTTATATTTGGAAAAAAAGACTTTAAAGAGGTCAGTTGAGGCAAATAGATGGAAAACCAATTTTTGGTACATCAGTAAGCATTACCCGTGTGTCCCGAACATTCAATTTCTCAGTAAAAGGCCAAAGGTTTAGGTCCGAGTCGCTTGGCTCACTTTATATTGAAGTGTTTTGATACAGTGGCAAAAACTGCGAGTTGATTACTTAATACCAAACATAACCCAGGGGGGGTAAGAAGTCTCGGATCATTGCTAGCGCGGGGGAAGGGGTGTAGAATGTTGATAAATTCTTCCATTATTTGCTTTCAGTTGATTACAAACATGTTTTATGGTAACATGAACAGGCAAGAATGTAGCTAGCTATCTAAGATGGCCTCTTAGTACTTATTACTTCTATTAGACGTAGCCTGCATACCCACTCTTAAATTGAATATCTTTATGATCTATAATATACTATAGTTAAATGTTCATTCAGTGATAAGCTACATATGCACACTATTCCTACCATCAACTGAAATTTACTTTTTTCTGAAATTTTATATTATGTTTTCCTCGTTTTTGATACTGCTTAGGGATGGGTGCAACCACCCAAGGTACATTTTCTTTGTGTTTGTTATCTATTTTCTGTATTATTATTTATACATTATAGAACTAAAACTATGCCAACTGGTCATTGACAGGCATTTAGTTAGTACATTTTTCTGACGTTTTATAATTTAAATGAGGCTTCTTTGTTTTTGATACTGCTAAGAAATAGGTGCAACTACCCACATGAAAGTGATGTCCACATCTTTAACATAACTCTGCTATATATAGTTTGAGGAACAATAGATTGACCAAATCTGATTCGCCCACTAAAAATACACCTCATGAATTAAATTATACACTGTATGCATGGAGTGCTACCAAAAAATAATTATTATGCAAATTTATTGGCTATATGAATGGACACCAAGTAGTCCTGATACTAATCTAATGAGAATGTTTAGTCTATATGAATTATGATGGGTTAAAAAGTTTTGTCTGGTTGGACGTGAATTCTCGAGGAATGGTACGCTAACGAAAGCGTAACCACCTTTCGCGTGAGGGCCCCAACAGGCTTCTGGTTCCATAATTAGTTCAGAGGCACATTATAACACAACCACCTGCCTCCTCCTTTTGGTATGTACAGCATCAGCGATGCATAGCGGGGGGAAGATGGGCTATGATCAGCCTATCCCCTCAACCGTATCATTCACAACTTCAACAAAACGCCTGGATACACGAAGGAATGTTAGGAAAGATAATAGCGACAATGTTTTTTTTTTAGTACTCACTGTCATCAGCTTGTGGCGCTGACAAGATATCACTGTGTTTCTTCTTGACTTGCTCGACATTTTCTTGAATTTTGTCGATCATACCACGGATTTCTTCCACCTAGGAATATAATTTTAATATAATCATGAAATAGTGTTGAACATGTGTATGAATAGCAGTTAAGGTTACACAAGCGATTTTGTGAAAATGGTAAGTTATGGTAATGGGGGAGGGCGCGAATGGGTGATGGAGATTTTTAATATTTTTATGTATAATCTACACTGTAGACACAGACTGACCTCTTGGAAGAATTCGTCCATGAAACCCCCACTGTCCATGTTCACGGTCACGGCGTCTGGGCCCACATCGTCGTCGTCGCTTTGGGCCTAAAAACGGAGAAATCGGGAATTTTAAAGAGCAAGATCATCTACTGATCAATTTTTCAGGGCAAAGCATATTCCCTAGGGAAGGCACATCCCCCCTAGCCTGGCCCGGCTGGGTAGGTACAGGGTTATCTAAAGCGACATGTTCTGGGCAGATTCTCACCGCTTTCAACGCCGCCAGTCGGTCCCTCATGGTGGATGGTCTCCCTTATTCCTTCGGTGAATCTATCCAGGTCCGGCGGAGAGAATATCCTTTCAATCTCCGTCGAATTTTTGGGGCTGGGATCGATCCACCTCCCCTTGTCGTCTGGTCCTGTCCTCTGTTCACCGCTAAATTTCAATCACCGGACCACCTCCACAAGGCGCATGCCCAGAGCGTCTGGCCACACCCGGAAATTACAAATTTTAGGCAAAATATTCGGTAAAATCACGAAATTATGAACATGTGGGTTTTACTTTCCCTTTCCGTGGGAAAAATTAGGGAGCATCTGGAAATATGTCGGACAGAATCAATAAACCCTCCCACTCAGCTTCGGCCGGATCCAGCGAAGTTCGCCGACATGTTCGTAATTTGACGCAAGTGGCGAAAATGTCCTTATTTGGTTCGCGGTGCATCGGGAGGGCTCGTGAGGTTTTCTTAGCCTCCTATCCAGGCCTCCAAATGGGTTTAAATTTTAGAATTGTTGACAAATTCCTTTGCCGGTCATCCTACAATCTATGTGAGCTTGTTCTTAGATTCTCAGTTGTTTGTAGGATGGTCTGGAAAAGAACGCGTTATTTGATAAAACCCAGTTATAAAATTAAGTTTCCTACTTAGATGACTGCGTACGAGACTAACATTTTCCGAGTGTTCCCGACAGTTCCCGACCACGGGATATTTTGCGCGGTTTTTTGTCACGTGACCCGGACCAGTTCAAACTGGTTACCATCCCTTCCTAACCTTCACGTTGGAAGCACGAAACAGGTAAGGCCCGGTGTGTCTGTAATCTTTCACGGATCCTCACCATCCTTTGGCCAAAATCCAGTACAAAATATTCCTAAGAATCTGTGTGTTACGTGGGTTAGATTTGTGGTAAAATTGTGAACGAGAGATGATTTTCTGCCCCGTGAAACGCACAGTATTCTCAACGTTTCGGTACCACTTGTAAGCGGCCATGTCTCTAGTGGTTGCGTCATTGAAATGAGCGGTTTAGGAGCATATAGTACAATACCAAATTTATCCGCGCTGTAGGGTTGCATTTTAATGTGATGCGAGGAAGATATGTAGTGATTTGAGTTTTTAATTTTCTTCATATCCAAGTCATTTTAACTTCTTGTTCCTGATTCTCGGTCCCATGTTCGCGCGGAATTTTCCATTCTCCCGTCATGGCCTCAAAAAGCTGACATATATAATCACGTGATGTCATTTTCATTCTTCAGAATATGTGGTTTCTAACGAAAATTGCTCAGCTATTCGCTGTTTTCATTTTTTGGTGGGTACAGGTTGTGTAAGCTGTCTTTGTTGCTAAAAAATTCTGCCTATTTGCTGATGCCCCCCTCCCCCATAACCACAGCGAAACCATTCGCGCCTTTAATTGTGTCTATCAAGAAATGACTTCACGCTTGACGTAAATGGTTGCCAATGGTGACAAGAGAGTGACCTGGTACTATTTTTGAGGAATATTTAGTAAGGCTTGAGGCTGTGGTTGTATATGCCCCCCCTCCCCATTTTGTACTAACACCTGTTTTATGTATATTACAATTAATTATATGATATTACACATATTGGTTTCATAATTTCAACATTGTCATGTTATCAGGGTTTTGAACTTGGAGTATCATTTTAAAAAAAGATCTTGCAATTTTTACCAACACAAGAAATCATATCACAGTGAAAGATATGTATTGTATGTATGTACTAGATAATTTTGGTGCAGTGTTCAATTTTCTTATGATATTGTGCCTCACTCATTGTATGAGGAAGTATAATCTAATTTATTGTGTTCACCTATGTTTTTAGAGTTCCCCGAATTCATTCACCATGGCACAAGAGATCGCGGCCGCTAACAATAGAGAAATTGCAAAATTCAAGGTATGAAATCTATAGACTACATTAATTATGTTAAGTCCAACCATTCGAAGATATGCGTAAACAATTGTTTTTTTTTTTTTTTATAACTTCTGGTGGACATCATTTCGTTTGTTTGATGTTAATGTTGTTTAAGACTTGCAAACTGTTACTTGTTATGGAAATGGAAGAGCTAGATACAAGACAGGTATGTTTACATAGGTAGATTCCATTGATATCTGTAAGATTTTATACCCAATGTGCTATGAAATAAAGTTGTTCGACATAAAACAGCAAATCATATGATCAATCAATGCAGTTTGGTTCTAGACTAAATAGAACACCATACTCTTCAAACTGATTTGAAAATGAACAGTGCATAACTTATATGTAAGTGCATTTCAATACTGTTATTTGATCAATGGAAATGTCTCGTTCCTCCCTCCAGCTTGTACTTGTCGGAGATGGTGGCACAGGAAAGACGACCTTCGTAAAACGCCATGTGACAGGAGAATTCGAAAAGAAATATATTGGTAAGTCAGGATTACTCCTTCATATGCACCACTGAGGCCCCATTACTAAACAGACAGAGCTATGCATGCCAACAAGCAATTTGAGATTGCATTTACTTGTGAAGGATTTCTGATCGTGTGACGTCAGAAATGGCATGTGCTACTGACGTATGGCATTTTACTGACTGAATGATTTAACAAAAGCATTTGAAATGTTTGATAATCTAACGACTAAAATTTCTGTAGAAAATACAGAAATGGAGACTCAAGTGTCCTGAAAAGAAAGCTAGAGAAAAGTGTAAATTCACACAAAAAAAAAAGAATTTCAGAGAGAAAATAGCCTGATGAAAAGTCCAGTCCAAAACTGATGTCATACCGAAAGAACGTTTCAAGTTACCCAAAACAAAGAAGTGGCTTGCACCAAAAGATGACCCAAGTCGTTCACAATGATTCAGACATACCTCCATCCTTGATGAACAGTGATCTCTATCTACTGGGTATGAGTGGACACACGGGACTCCTGGTGCATGGCTACCTAGGATAACAGCTGTTGTATAAGGAAGAAAGCATTATATGCATCTTAAAACATGATTGTCTGGATAGCACTACAGTGTGTTTTGATGTGCTCGATTCAGTTTACTAAGCTGCAACACTTCCCATACCTTGTACGGTCAAACCTGCCAAATAAGGCCACCCAGGGGACCTATGTAAAGTAGATGTTGGACAGGTGGCCTTCTTGGGCAAATCCCTTAATGTTTGTGCCTGTTGGGGACCAATAAAAGGTGGTTGTTATGACCAGGTTAAAGAGATGGCCACTTGGGCAGGTTTGACTGTACTTGCATATTGAGAAAGCAAATTTGAGCTGAAACTTCAAGATGGTGATCTCTCTGTTTGTGAAACAAGAATTTGATAACCCTAAATTCATGAGAATCTTGCAGTGTTTTGTATAGTATCTCACCCTTCGTCTTCTCTTTGTGTGTGTGTGTTTCAGCAACTCTTGGTGTAGAAGTGCATCCAGTTAAATTCAACACCAACAGAGGGGAAATTCTGTTCAACGTGTGGGACACCGCAGGGCAGGAGAAGTTTGGGGGGCTCCGAGATGGCTACTATATCCAGGGTAAGAACCTTTCTGTTTTGCAGTGACAAAATCTAGACAAGCTGACAATGTGGACTGTTGCAGACACTCACTCTGTTGCTTTTTCTTTCCATCTGCTAAACAATTGCTACAAATTATGTACCGAATATTCATTAATTTTAATTTTAATTGCAGAAGTGTGAAGTGCTTCTTGTCTCGAGTTCTTGATTGACAAAATCACAAAAAATTCACATTTGCTGTATCATAATATCACAGTGGGGAGGCACCACAAAGATAAAACCACTGTGAATATTTCAGGATTTACTGTACCTCATAATAATGATGATAATAATTGTTTATTGATTGATCGATGGGTACAATCTCTAGCATGTGGCAGCGCAACTAAGTAAGTAATTGTATGCTAGTGTTGAAAACAGAGGAACAGATATTGCACAGTTAACATATAGACAACTAAATAAGTGAGTGCTATATACTAAATGAGCTTAACAATATCGCAAGTAAATTGGTCAGTACTAAGCTTGAAAATATCGCTAAATAGGTCAATACTAACTTATTTCAGCCAACACTAGACTTTGTATTCTCTTTAAACCAAGTTTTCCCCTTGTTGCTCTTCAGGTCAGTGTGCTATTATAATGTTTGATGTCACGTCGCGAGTAACCTACAAGAATGTCCCCAACTGGCACCGTGACCTGGTGCGCGTGTGTGAGAACATCCCCATCGTTCTCTGCGGCAACAAGGTGGACATCAAGGACCGCAAAGTCAAGGCCAAGTCCATCACCTTCCACAGGAAGAAGAACCTGCAGGTATGTTCAACAGACACTTTAGAATGTAAGGTTGTCCAAAGTTTATTGTAGAAACTGTTAGTATGGCATTTAGCACTAAGCCTGACCATATCATGTTACTAGCAGCCTAAGTCCCAAGGAGCTTGATGGCAAACACCAAGTCAGGAGAATCAGGAACATCTTAATCAGATGTCTGTTTATACACATGTGCTGACATGGACCAGTTATTGTCTGTTGCCATAGTGTTGGAAGCTATTGCATATGACAAAGAATCCTGATCTATTGGTAGTTCTGGGAATGGGAATGGTTCTCCTGAGTTACAAGTGCATGACCTTAAAAAAAAAAAAAAGTAAGAAAAAAAAAAGTTCTCAGAGAGGAGGCCCATATTCAGCCCATGACAGTAATAGATTATATAAAATCATTAGATGTGACTTTGTTGTGACTTAGTTGTACAAAGTGTGCAACGGTTTGGCATTAATGTTGACTTTGTGTTGTATGTACTCTAAAGAAGCTAAGAAGCCTTTCTCCTACTTTCTAGTACTACGACATCAGTGCGAAAAGCAACTACAACTTTGAGAAGCCGTTCCTGTGGCTGGCAAGAAAGCTGGCGGGGGACCCCAACCTGGAGTTTGTGGAGATGCCTGCCCTGCAGCCACCAGAAGTACAAATGGACCCACTACTGGCCTCTCAGTACGAACAGGACCTCAAGGTACGCAGCACCACAAATCCAACATTTTAGGGAGTATTCTAGGTAGTGCTGCATACCGGTTCACTGGACTTGGATCCGGACTTGTAAGAATGGTTAGGTTCAAGTCCAAAAAAAACTAAAAGACAAGAACCGAGTTCGGACTTATTACCATAAAAGACCATTTCACATACCCCTTTTCTTTCCAAACCACCTAAAACCTTCCGTAGATCGCAAAATCTTTGCTGCAAGATGAAGAAAACATTTCCATCAGGCATCGTCAATTACCAACCTCCGTGTTATGTGGCCAAAGTTTCACCCAGACAACATTGCAAGGTTGCCAACATGCAATTTTGTATATGCCATGGGTTTAGGTCCGGACTTACAAGTCCAGAACTGAACCTAAACTTCTGGACTTGAATCTGGACCTGAACCTAAATGTGGGTTTAGGTATGCAGGACTAATTCTAGGGAGTATTGCGGATTTTGTGACGTTAACAGACCTCCAGGAAGTGTCTTGAGGGGGATATTATGATGTAATTTAATTGGATATTACACCACTTCCTGGGTCACCTTCAAGTGACTTCCCTGTCAATCAACTGTCCAAGTCAACTCCCATCCATCATATAAGTTAAACAGATTTTGATTTGAGTAAGCATTGTCTCACTCTATGCTCTATTTACTCTTCATGACCTTGATAGAAATGTCTTTCCTAGTGTTTTTAACGCAAACATTTGCATCAAACTTACCACTTTTTTGTGTTTTTCTTTTTTTGCAGCAAGCACAGGAGACAGCTCTACCAGATGAGGACGACGACTTGTAAATACAGAAAAAAAAAGTACAAACTTCATGTCCAGAGGAATACTCCCCTCCTTCCAGCCGTTTTCGATTTTCCCCCTAAAAGGACGCTAGAGTATAATGCTCATATCTTAAGAAGAGAAACCTCTAATATCACATGGTAGATGCCATGGCCATGTTTGGTATACATATACGTAGTTTCTAAACTGAGACAAGGATGACTATTTTCAATTACGTCTTAACTTCAGGTTTCGATTCATCAGTAAGAAGTATAAGAGTTTAGAGCTGGAGTTTAATAAGATGGAATGTCTAAAAAAAGCTGTTACAAACAGCATGTATTTGACTAGCGTAATCATATGTGATAGTATCACTACGAGATTTAATGTATTTCTCTGAAAGCTTCACTATTTAGTATGTTAACAAACCCCTGTGCAGCTGAGATTTCAGGTATACCGTAGTTGTGTAAGTTTTTTTTTTCTATAAACGTTTTCCAGCAGAGATAGCTTCATGATACTAAACATGATGCAAAACTTTTGGGAGGGTTGTTTCCATGGATATGTGATGTGTATGTTTGATGTGAATGAGCTGTCAGTATGCTGAAGATCATTTCCTGTGTGTGGATGAGAGCAAGGCTTACTACATGTAGATGGCCAGACATATTACAAATATAATAGCATTCCCATAGCTTCAGTTTCTGTCCTGTGTATGACCACACTATTTGTATTGGTTTTGACTTCAAAAAGGTGACCACCTAAAGCTGAATAAACTATTGTATTGCATTTCAGGATACATGTCTTTTCTTGATTTGCCTGATTAATGTAAAAAGAGTTGAAAAAGTGTTATTTTCCCTTCACAGTACATGTACATCAAATTCTAGTAACATGAAGTTAGAGATGGCAAAACTTTTTTTGGGAGAAGAGGTCTTCTGAGTTTATTGGTCCAACCAAATAGAAAATCTAACATAATTTTAACAGGAACCTTACTCCGATACATGGTAAACAGTATTTTGGGTGGACTTGCTTCCTATCCTGCCAACTTGACCTTGAGGTCAATCTGTGGTAACTAAATCCACCATCCTGCCACTGAAAGTGCATTTCAAATTACTGCAAACCTGATGGAGGATTTGTACTGAAGCCAATTGAAATTTGGAAGATTTTCAAACGTTTTCTTTTTGCCCTGTCGCTTCATATTTTTTCTGAAAAAATCCGAGAACCAACAAATTAAATTGGTGTGGCCTAAATGACCAATCATCTAAAGTGATCATGCATGTACATACACAAAAGACACAAAACTATAGCTTACATTTCCATCCACTTTATTCTTGTGAATAACTGCCTTCTTGAGGCATGGCCATACTCCATTTTTGGAGTACAGAGCCTTAGTAAATTGTACCGGTAACTGCTTTTGCATAGCGAGTCTACATGTAGCTAGCAGTAGTACCAGTACATGAATTAGAATCCATGTTTTATAGTCTTCAAAAAGCAAAATACTGGATAGGAAGGACGGTGAATCTTTTCTCCACGCATCAGAACTTGTTTGATCGCTTCCTGCCAGTGTACTTGGAGTCTGGTCTCACTTCCCTGGTAACAAAAAGGATTTGAACAAACGTCAGTTGTAACACACATTGTCCACATGTCAGAATGATACAAATGCCACTAATAATTAGCCTGGTTACCAAATTTTAACTGCCGAGTCTCTTTCGTCCTCTCTGCAAATCTTAGTTTACATATTCAATGTTCCACAGGATGTATTTACACACTATAGTTAATGTCATGAACTTCAGTAAGGCCATGTTGATTTGATTATATGGATGACATCCTCTGGAAACCCCAAAACTGATGCGAGCGTGCAAATAAAAAAGTTTGGCAAAATAAAAAGTTGCTTTCATTATGAAATCTAGTTGGTCTGTAGCCTGGGTACCATCCTGGTTAGTTTACGTCTGCTCCTACAGTCGCTAGTTGGTGGTAGCGACTGTAGGAGCGGACGTAAACTAACCAGGATGGTACCCAGGCTAGTTGGTCTGAGTATGGTATGGCGAATAATCTACTCTTCAAATTCATTCTTCACAATTTCATGTTTTTTTTTAGTTTGATTTTGGCATCCTACGACATTGGTATCGTTTTCAAATATTCTTTTTGCAACTTATGGTATATGCTCATTTTGCAACTTTTTTGTACGATTTACAGTATGGTTGAAAACTTTTTTTTTTGCAAACAGCAGATTCATGCGCGCGCGGATGTCATTCATATAATAAAATCAACATGGCCTAATATACCAAGAAATGCAAAACAAAAAAAGCAAATATTTCATGGGCATCAACCACTCTCATTGGTTGGACAGTCAGGATCAGTCTATTCAGTGGATCCAACCTTCGTACCAACACAGACAAACTTTCATGCATCTTCAGGCCACACCAATTTAATTTGTTGGTTCTCGGCTTCGCCTCTTCATTTTTTTCTGATTTGCAAAAAAAAAAGAAAAAAGATTCTGGTTCTGAATCAACTAAAAAATGCTCATATTTTGCCCCCAACAGTTGAGGAAATTCCTTTTCTTCCTAGTTGTTACAGTTTTTTCCATCTATCAATGCAACTTGGTTTGATTAAAAGTTCAAAATTTATACTTTAAATTTTAACCCAGCCTTTTTTGTTGACTTCATGGCTCATATTGTAGCATTTGGGGCTATAATAGGATGCCTAGACCTGTTTTTATTTTTTTTCGCCCTGTTGCTTCATATTTTTTCTGAAAAAATCCGAAAACCAACAAATTAAATTGGTGTGGCCTTAAGTTTCTTCATCAACAGCCTGCATTTTTCCAGTGTTAATAAAAGTGTCCACACCACTCCAGCATTCAAAGTTAAGTATACATATGTACTCACTTTCCTTGTCTTCTCCTCCTCTCCTTTTTCTCCATTATCCAGTCTCGTGACTTCTTGACAGATTTACGATTTTTGCCTTTACCACGTTCTCTAGAATTTGGAGACATACATGGTTTGAGATGGTGGACAATATAAACTCCCTGGCACTTTTGATCAATTGCTTACGTCACGTATCCGTAAAGTCTCGTGTGAATAAGGTCACGTGTTTGTAACTAACTCTCGCGAGATCACGTTGTTAAGTGATTGGTCATTAATTATCCTGATGAAGGCGACAGTGGTCGCTGAAAATTTGATCTCTGTGTAAATTGTGTGTTGGAATAAAGTTCAACATTTCACTATGATTACTACCAACACATACGAACTTCCATGATGGTGAGAGATGTGCACAAATAAATATTCAGCAGCTTTGATACAAAGCGTCACTACAAGTGTGATATTCCTACCAAAGATGAAAATTTTGCACTGGAAAAAAGTACCTGATGTAATCTGTAGTTAAGGCCACACCAATTTAATTTGTTGGTTCTCGGATTTTTTTCAGAAAAAATATGAAGCAATGGGGCAAAAAAAGGCCTAGGAATCCTACTATAGCACTATATATAATTTCTACAATAGTAGCCATTAAGTCAACACGAAAGCCTGGATCAATATTTAAACAATAAATTTTGAACCACTGCATTGATAGATGGAAAAACTAACAACTAGAAAGAAAGGGACTTTCCTTAGATCCAACTGTTGGTGGCAAAATATGAGCATTTTTTAGTTGATTCGGAACCAGAATCTTTTTTTTTTTTTTTTGCAAATCAGAAAAAAACAAAGAGGCAAATCCAAGGACCAACAAATTAAATTGGTGTGGCCTAAGCCCTAGTTTTTCTGTTGTTATTCAAACTCACCTTATATCTGTGAAGTGTGCCTGGTGCACTCTGTCATCTGTGCCAAGTGCCTGAAATATGATTTCATCATTAAGGACTTCGAATTTGCAGGATTACCATTCAAAACTATCAAAAAACAACTTTGTTAATAGTGTAGATACAAAAACACTCAACAAAGCTTCATCCAACAATCTCAAGATGGTAGAACCTACCTTTGGCAGTTTTGTCATTGTACCACCAGCAAATAAAACCAGAAAAAATCTGGAACACAGAAATGGGGAAGAGCATTTACTAGGATTTCTTCTCCAGCGAGAGTTTTACACAAGTTTCTAGTATGTCAATACTAAGCATGATTTCAGATTTAACATTATATTGGTTGACAAAAAAATATAACTCAACTAGAAAGGTATCATTTGCAAAGCAAATGCATAATGTTTACCTTCACACATGGTCTGCTCTGTTAATTCTTACTCAAACACATTCATATACATGTACATGGTCAGACAGGAGACTAAATCCCTCCTACTACTTAATATAAGATTGCAACATTATGTAACCAAGCACCAGTTACCATGGTGATAGACGTCAACAAATCAGTTCATTGGCCAGGTCAGAGGTTAGTGTTTGGAGAAGAAGAGGAAGAGGAAACTGAGCAAAAACAATATGTTTTCCTTCCGTAAACATGAAAACTCACTTTTTTGCTCTTGTGCTGTTGGGGAAATCGACCACCACCCCTCCAGAAAAGCCTGCCTTCATGGCTTGTGTAGTTATCAACTCAAGCTAACAGAGTGGTAAAAAAAGCAACAGACATATTTTAAAAGTTAACAAGGTTGTGATTCCTGTGATGCCATACTTAAAAGTTAAGATATACATCTTAGCGGACAAAGCAAATTCAGTCTTTCAACAAAATTTAAAGCTAAAACTAGAGAAGCAACATTTGCAAAGCAAATGCATAATGGTTACCATCGGACATGGTCTGCTCTGTTAATTCTTACTCAAACACATTCACATACATGTACCAGTACTACAAGTATATGGTGACAGGATAAGAGCAGACCATGAAATTGCAACATTATGTAACCCAACACCAGTCACCATGGTGACAGACGTCAACAAATCATGTCATTGGTCAGTCATAGGTCACAGTTTGGAGAAGAAGAAGAGGAAGAAACTGAGTAAAAACAATATGTTTTCCTTTGGTAAACATAACAAGGTTGTGATTTCTGTCATGCCATACTTAAAAGTTAAAATATATATCTTAGGGGACAAAGCAAATTCAGTCTTTCAACTAAATTTGAAGCTGAAATAAAACCTTACAAAAATTCCTTCAACAGTTCTTACCTGGTCAGAGTTTTCAGGATAAAGTTGAAGCACGGCCCTGGCACCGCGTGCCTGTACGGGAAAAGCAGAGAACAGATTAATGATAAGTACTTAGTAGATTGTGTCAAAGCAAAAGGAGTATGACCAACAATGCATTCTGAGAACTGTCGTAACCCAAAGTTTGGCACAACCATGATGAAATAAACTAGAATAGTAGAAAGGTTACATTTGCAAGCAAATACAGAATATTTCCCTTCACATGGCCTTTCTATACATTAATGAAAAAAGTAACCAAATAATGCTCCCTTTATTTCTACTAAAATTTGCATTCATAAATACATGTATTAGTTGAGCGAGCCTGAAGCCACTGATTTCTATGTAGAAGTTCCTATCTTGCTACCTTGGTGAAATCAAAAGCCACCATCAACCATGGTGACCAATCACACAGTATCACCTGCAGGTCATTGACCTAATTTGTTTGGAACGGAAGAAGAAGTTTCCCAATCTGTCAAGGTAATCATAATAAGCTACCAAAGTTGTACCTACCATACATGCATATAAAGTGGAGAAGAACTTATAGAGCCTCTTGGGTGGATTGTGGGTCTTCTTGTCTGCATTACACAGCCACTGGATGGCTGAGATACTACAGTGGATGGAGGGAAGAAATGACAAAACTTAAGATGGCTGTAGTACATCTTGACTGACACTGAACATCTATAATAAGAAATCTGAGATTTTAGACCCCCGGAAGTGTTTTGGGTTTTTCATGAATATATATGAACTGTAAAGGGGCTTGTCTAACGTAATTCAATAACTAGAGAAGTAACATTTGCAAAGCAAATGCATAATGTTTACCTTCGGACATGGTCTGCTCTGTTAATTTTTACTCAAACACATTCACATACATGTACTACAAGTATATGGTGACAGGAGCAGAGCAGACCATGAAATTGCAACATTATGTAACCCAACACCAGTCACCATGGTGACAGACGTCAACAAATGTCATTGGTCAGGTCAAAGGTCACTATTTGGAGAAGAAGGAGAAGAAGAGAAAGAAACAGAGCAAAAAATATGTTTTCCTTTGGTAAACATACAATGTAGATAAGAAGTCTTACCTTATGACACCATCAAACGTCCCTGGTCTGAAGCACATTCCCTGTCCCATGTCACTCAGCAACAAGTCTCCTTCTACCTCCCTCTCCTGTGCTACATCTGTAAGGTCACAGAGGCAAGTATTGGGCATAAATTACATCTACATTTATTCTAACAACCCTCTAGAATCCAGTCTATTCACAGTAAAAACTGAATTGCTCCAACTTTTACAAAATAATTCTTCTTTGAATTTGCTGGGCCTAGTAGACAGTTTCAGTTTATTGCGATACCCTTTAGCCCGTTAGGGCTAATATAATCTTCCAGGGCTCATTACACATTATTACACATTACACACACAGTACAAATATACACATATGACTACAAATTTACATACATGAGGTCACAGGTCAGACAAGGTACTAATTATAGCTAAAATCATTAAACGAGCAAATTATCGGCTAAGTATAAAACTAATATTACCATTACTAAAAAAATTCAATAAATCATCATAATTAAAACCATTAAGTTGCATACAATTGATCGATCAATCTCTTCAACCGCTTCTCATCGTAGACAAATAATAGCCTGGTATCCAGACCTATTTTAGCTGCTATGTGTCTTTTGTCCTCTCCTATTTGTATAGAGGACAAAAGAGACAGCAGCTAAAATAGGCTTGGATACCAGGCTATACAAGTAACTATTTACACTGATAAAATTGTCTAACCCTCGGAAGACGGGGAACAACACGATAAACCGGACAGTGAGTGAGTGAGTGAAAATTGACAAAAATTTGCTGTTCCAATGAGTCATCAAATAATGAATGAATGAATGAATAATAATCTACAACTGTCACAAATAAATATTATGATTACATGTAGCCCTAGTACTAGTCGACTCACCTAACATACTAGAGCTGATGTCCATCCCAACCCACACATGGTCCTGGTCAGTAAGAAACTCTCCACTCAGGCCAGACCCACACCTGAATAGTTGGACAATAGTTTGGGTGTCTTTGTCTATTCGATACAAACTTTCAGCATATTATCTTCTTTGTTAGTTGTCAAAGATATGAATATAAACCACTATTTGAATTACAGCACATTGGAAGATACAACAATAATCTGTTATTTGGGCTCAAAATAGTGCGCCCAAATTTGGAGCTGTGCACCCTACTTTTTTCTGTGGCTGCATTTTCTTAGGTTTTCGTATGTAAAGAATAAAAAAGATGTTAAACGTATTAGTATGAAGCATATTCTTAACAATCCAAGTGTCAGAAAAATAATAAAATTATTGATGTAGTACTTTTCTTTAGAAATGAAACATTATACTTATTTCATTTTATATGGTGCACCCAAAAAGTTTTTTGTGCACCCAATTTTTTAGGTTGGGTGCACCAGTGCACCTATTCCCAAAAATGAATTTCGAGCCCTGAGTCTTATACTGGCTGGCTAATCTACAAGATACAACATGTAGATAGAGAAAGTATAGGAGGGAAAATTCCCAATTATATGAGATATTCAGAAGTCTCTGCCTGTCAAGGGGGATATGGTGAAATCACTTCTCAAAACTAGCAAGCTTTAAACAATGTCTAGAGATAGACGTTCAAGGGTTAGGTGAAACAAGTCGATAGGTGTAATGTAGCCAGCTGCTGCCGCGCCGCTTGCCTGCGAAGCTGGTGTGTTATGCTGAAGGGCAGTTATACCGGCTATACAGATACAGAAGCTGGTGTGTTATGCTGAAGGGCAGTTATACCGGCTATACAAAGAAGCTGGTGTGTTATGCTGAAGGGCAGTTATACCGGCTATACAGATACAGATACAGAAGCTGCACTAACCCAAGGTCCAGAATGTAGCAGGGTGTGTCCTCTGGGAGGTTGAGCATCTCCACAGCTCTCTCTGTCAACTCCTGCTGAATCTGGATCATTCTGGAACTGAGCAAAATTGAACAATTAATGTCTGTATGTCAAGTATCAAAGACTGGATACTACTACTAATACTATTATCTCTATTTTAATTGTGGGGTTATATATGGCACAAAATGCATGCAAAAAGTAAAAACAGAAAAAAAGGTAGAAGCCAAAGAACCAGAGTTTTTTGCAAGAAGAATAAAACTTTAAAAGAAGTCATCTACATCAGGGCCCTACAACCATCACTCAACAGAGACGGGGGGCACCACAAACTTTCTGTAACCTACAGTATGACCCACTGCTCACCGAGTTTCGTGTGTTATCTACATAACGTGACGTCACAAAAGCGGTGGATAATTTGCCCATTACTTGACACTACATGTAATAAAATTTGAGCAAGTCCGATTTTTTCGTGATGAAAGTTCAACTCGATTCAGAACGCATAAACTACATGTTCACACATGGTCACTTACTTCGACGTGTACTTTCGAGCCTCTTCTTCATTGTAGAACTGTGGGGGGAAAAAACAAGAAAACACGATCAGCATTGTCTCTACAACTGTAGCTCACAGATATTGCACATTTCTGATACAGAATATCACAGATAAGACGGAAAACTTACGACTTCGGGAGGAGCTTGGTGTTCAGGTCTTCTTCCAGAAGCCATCTTGGCGAGCACGTGGAGGTCAAAGGGTAGAGGTTGTATCAAAGAATTTGTCGTCAAATACTTTTAGCTATAGCCCGATAAATACGTAAATCGCATGTTTTTGTTACGTAAAGACATCTATTACGTATATAGCTAGTTTTAAAGGCGTAATAATTGATTAAAGACGTCAAAAGTGCAGGGGTTGAAGTGCCCTGAGCAGTCCCGTGGTCGTGACGTCATCACAGAGGTCACAACCTTCATGATGGCGGCGATGTTGGCCGCTGGCCGGCCGGCGAAAACTCTCCGGACTTGTATTCGAGTGAAAACGTCTCCTAGCCACACGATAACGGCACCAGTTTGTCAGAGAAACACCGGGAATATTCTGAAGGCCACGCTAGGAGCCTGCTACGCGAAGTTTCTGAGTACTGACGCTTTTTCTGACGGTAGGTCTGGACCTTCGAGTTACGCAACGACAGGGTTATGTGGTGGGAGGGTCCCGACTCAGGTCAGAGTCGGTCTACACGACCGGGACAGATACACCGTAGAAAACGTCTACTCAAGGTTATTGCAAGATCCTGTTGTACTCAGAACCATCAGAGAGTTTTACGATTGTGAAAGAGATGTTCTTGAAGAAAAACAAGACTCAGAAGCCTTAGAAGAAGACCAGATCCTGAAATCGTATGTTGGTGGTGGAATCAGCTTCGCAAACAAATCTCTGCGATCATGGCCTTTCGGTCCTAGTGATTCTACGTTACAACCCTTCAAGCGATCTCACATGAGAAGTTTATGGACGCAGAGCGGTAGCCAGCGCCATCAGAAGTTCTACGCCAGAGAGAGACACGCGAACCTCCACTACTATGACGTTCTCGGTGTAACGCCCATCGCCACGCAGACCCAGATCAAGAGCGCATACTACAAGAAGTCCATGCAGTTCCACCCGGACAGGAACAAGACGGCGTTCGCCGCCGACCGCTTCACCGAGATCACGGAGGCGTACGAGGTCCTGGGACACGTGGACCTGCGGAGAAAGTATGACCAGGGCGTCCTGAACAAGTCGGACTTGTTGAAGGACAGGAAACCGCCATCGGAACCAACCAGACCCGAGACTGGCCGACAAAGTTACTCGGACACAAGAATCCAGAGCAGGGGGAATCTGGGATACAACATGGACGAATGGCTAAAGGGTCACTATGGGGAAGCTCTGGAACAAGAAAAGAGGAGGAAACGCGTAAGGAAAAACTATGAAGACTACCAGAAGGCGGCACAGCGGAACAGGAACGACTCATATATCGCTGTTGCGTTGTTTGGAATCGCAGCTGTGATTGCCTTCATAATGAAGTAGTAAAAAGTTACTTTGAGGATTTGTGTGAAATTAACCCTCTCCCTGCTGCATAACTACATGTAATACAGATTTGATGCCAAATGGCTACCTTAGCATGTTGAACTGATTATTATTGTGCACTTGAGTGACGAACTGTTTTATATTCCACTGGGTTCAGAAACTTTACTAAGACCTGAAATAATTTGTAGATGATGCACTGAAACATACTGGGTTATATTTTAATTTTTGTTTAAATTAGGATTGTTTTATAGATAAACCCAATTTTGGGGTGGGAAATTGTGAATAGTGTTTCAAATTGAAACAGCTGAAAAAAATTCAAAGGCTTTATATGTAAAGTTGTAGAATATTGTACATAAAGAACTCAAAAAGAAGTTTAATTCAGAAATTAAAGCTCTCATTGTAAAATGCTGGTGTGTTTACAAAATCTGGGTACTAGAAGTGTGTCATTTTTTTAAAGAATTACTTTCTTCATCTACAGCATTGTTTTTGATCTCCAAGCAGATCTTTTTGGTGGCTGCAAAGACAGCATCAAATTGGCCAGGCAGTATCTACTAGCTAGTACCGGTATCTGCCAAGCAGTTATTTTTGAGCAGGCATAAAAAAATATACCAGTACAAAAGAAATCCTGATAAAAATGCCTAAAAACAGGTCAAGAATAAGCAGAAGCCTAATCCTCTGCTTGGAAAGTATGTAGCTAATACTGTAAGATCATTTTCAAACTTATTTCTGATTTTGGTGTACATAAACATGTACATATAGTGCATACCAAATGTTGTATGTTTTAATAAGAAACACTGCTGCTGGTACAAATGTATAGGTGTTGTACTGATGATGGAATGTGGCTGCATAAAAATAAAGTTTGTGAGGGAAAGATGCACATGGCTTATGTAACGACTAGCACTATGGACAAAACTGCCGAAGAAGACCATTTTGGGGACCGGTAAAATCTGGTCAATGTGGACATGTGGATTCTTAATGCCTGTGCTAATGGGAAAAGTTATTTAAGTGCCACCACCAAAAAGTGGTCACATTGGCCAGGAGGTCCTTATGTAGAGATGGTCACTTGTACAGGTTTGACTGTATACTTGTGTCATAACTACTATAGTGCCAAGTTACATGTAGCACTGGATCTAAGGTTCTCAAGGCAAGGGAAAGAGTAATGAGGAGGTTTTAATGGTAAGCAGCTGATTTTGGACAAGCTGACCTCAATTCAAAATTGAAATTGTGATGCAGACTATGACGAGAAATGTTACGATGGCTCTAGACCTGACTCAACAAATAACTCATATATACAACAGGCTTATTTGTATGACTTGTGTTGTTTTCCCCATGTTGTCAGTACATTAATCATCAGCAAAAATCATTGAATTTAAACATTTTTAATGTGACAGTTTCATTTAAGTTTGTTAGAGCAATAACTATGCTAAAGTTTCATTCAAATGTTTGTGTTACATATGGACTAGATTTATTCAGGGATCTCTATCTTATTTCTGTAATTGTGTAATCAGCACATGTATTTATTTGATTTTCCAATGAAGAATATGTGCCTCAGAAGCCACATGTATATAGATATCAAGATTGATGTGTTGCTTGAGTTATATGTTTGAATAAATTGTCAGATGTTTTGAGGTCTTTTGCATGTTTTTTGCTTATCATTATAGTAAGTCATCAGACAGATTAAAATAAGAGCATATTTATGTTTACCTTTGAAGAAGTAAAACGTTTTTGCTATGATTCGTCTTCTCCAAATATAAAGGTCAATGACCTGGACCAGACGTCTGTCACCATGGTAACTTGCTGTAGCAGACAACCCTGTACGTTGGGTTGCAGTATGTAGCAGGACATACTAGTATCTGGAGGGAATGGTCACATTAATGTGTTTGAGTAAAAATAAACAGAGCAGTGGTAAGATGTGGAGATAAACATTACTACACCTTTTAGTTTAGTACTGTTTAAAGGACTTATGAAATATATATATACATATACAGTATTAATGTTCAATATGGAATTCATGCTGGTAAATAGAGGTAGCAAATTAAAGTAAGCATATAAACAGAAAAAGGTTGACACTGATTCATTGATATTGAGCCATCAGATGATAGACACCAAAGTACAGAAGGCACAAAGCCTTAGTTCCTTCAGTTTTCCTTCAAACCAGCCGTGAAACTGATCCCTGGTTAATCTGTCTAAAGAGAAATTTTCCTGTTGTCACACTTCGTGTTCAACAACGATGTTATACAACGTGGAAAATTCCATGACGTCACAATGGGTTTTCCGTTTTTGAGCCAGGATGCTCTAGAACATTGTTTACACGGAACATCAGAACTAAAAATAACCGATAGATAACCAGATAAAAAAGGGGTTGTTTTTCTGAAATTAGACTTCAGGGTTGGTACCTATTTCAAAATTTCTATTCCGTTAGTCTTCTATGATAACACAATACGATAGCCAACAACGTGTTAACTCAATTATGACGTCACAAATCAGCACTCCCCTGATTGGTTGAAAGTTTGGTCAGTTCCCCCAGTTCCAGTTATACTGCGTCCCGTATGGTCACGCCGTAGCTTTCGGAACTCCCGATCTTCCAAATCCCCGTTCTAGAACGGCAATTAACGGAAGTTCTCCCCATAGCGTTTTGCAGAGGTGTGTATAACCTTATTTGGGTTGTTGTTTTCGAGTTTTTGAGTTCGTTTCGCGTTGGGAAAGTTGATTTTTCCGGATCGAGGAGAGTGAGGTGTTGTTGCGATGAAGCCGCGGCAGCTGGGCCGCGTGTTGCTGGCCGCCGCCTTCCTGCTGCACGTGTTGGTGGCCCTGCAGCAGGGACAGATCTTCCTGACGGAGGAGGGACTCATCAGGACCGTGTTGGACTCGGACGGGTCGGCCACGGAGAACGGCAACTTGCGCGTTCACCAGGTGAGAGTTTACCCTGGATGCCAAACTAATTTCGGACCGCTAGCAATTCCCTTCGGCAGCCAAGATATCTCTTCGCCCGCTGGTCTAAATTACCGCTACGGGGAGACTAGCCCGGGGGAGTTTGGCTAGCCCTTACAACGTTCTAGCGCCGGACAAATTCTCCTGGACTAAACTCCCCCGTAGCGGTAATTGAGATAGGCGGGCGTGGCTGCCGAAGGAAAACGGCTAACGGCCCGATACTAGTTTGGCACCCAGGGTAGTGAGAGTTAGGACCCGGTCACTAACGTGGTACGATCGTTGTACGATCGCAGACTCAATGTTGGGGTTAATCGTGAATTTGTCCTGCAAAATTAAGCTGCGAGTCTGTTATCTTACTACATCCAGAAGGGCTAATGTTTACTAGTGGGTACACATTCAACTTCTTCTCGCTTTATGCTAAGACAGTTGTAAGGGTAAGAACAGATAGAGCTTATAACACATTGCTTATCTAGCTGCGTAAGGAATATAATTTTTTTGCTGTCTCAATATGGAAAACCAGGAATTCGAAACTTATGCTGTATACAAGTGAAGAAAATATATCTCTCATTGTTTGTTGTAATCCAAGGACTTACAAGAACAAGAAAATGATACTGACATGTTCTATCTTGTTTAAGTTACAATGTTGGCTAGTTCAAATTCAGGGGTGCCAAAGTATACAGTGCAATTTTACGGAATACAGTGCAATTTTACGGAATACAGTACAATTTTACTAGTATACAGTGCAATTTTACAGAATACAGTACAATCGTATTAGTATACAGTGCAATTTTATGGAATACAGTGCAATTTGACTGGTAATATACTAATACAATCGCACTGCATTCCGTAAAATTGTACTGTATAATAATACGATTGTACTGTATTTCGTAAAATTGCACTGTATTCCGTAAAATTGCACTGTATACTCTGGCACCCCTAAAATTGTATAACGTCCGATGACAGGTGACTAGCCCGGACACCATGGTCGTGGCGACCACTGCGGGAGGAGGGGACCAGGGTCCCGTCAGGCTGGTGTGGTGCACCGTGCTCCGCGGCCAGCCCAGGGAGACCAGGCTGAAGAGATACGAGGGCGTCCTGAAGGAGGTGGAGTCAGGAGACAGGTATGAGACATGTTAATGTTAATGAGCTGCCTTATTTGGCACAGGCCAATCAGGTACGAGGGCACAGGCCAATCAGGTACGACGGTATCCTGGAGGAGGCGGGGTCAATTTACCTTATTTGTCAGGCCAGTCAGCCTTACCTAAAGAAGGTGGAGTCAGGAGACAGGTATGAGACATGTCAATGAGCTAATTACCTTATTTGGAACAGTCCAATTAGTTACGAGGCTATAAATTTCAAATCTCATCCTGAAGGAGGTGGAGTCAGGAGCCAGGTATGATACTTGTTAATACTAATTAGCTTGCATTATTTGGCACAGGCCAATCAGTTTTACCTGAAGGATGTGGTGTCAGGTACGATAATGTAATTAATGAGCTTACCTTATTTGACACAGGCCAATCAGCTTTGAGGGTGGAGTCAGGAGACACATATGGTACATGTTAATGTGCCTGCCTTATTTGGAACAGGTTAATACCTTTACCTAAAGAAAGGAGGCGGAGTCAGTAGACAAATATGAAACGTTAATATTAAGAAGATTGCCTTATTTGGCACAGGCCAATCCTCTTTGCCCAAAGATGTCATAGATGTAACTTTCCACAGGTACTTCGCCCGCTTCATGAAGCTGTGCCGGGCCCTGCGAGGCCCCCTGGCCCCGGAGTATGATGACGTTGACCCGCCGCCGGGGCTGACTGTGTGGGGCTGGCTGTGTGAGCTGGTCCACGGCATCCTACGGGCTGTGCAGGACTTTTGCCGCTGGCTGGTGGACATCGTCACCGGAGGAGGGCTCCGTGAGTTTGTTTTCTTCAGATTTGGACTTACTAGAAGTAATAGAAGTGGATTATAATTAAACAAATGACGTTAAACATATTTGTCATCAATGCTGAGCACCATCCACGCGCAAATAAGCAGACCTATCATTCACACAAAATAAACAGACCTATCCTTGGTGCTGAACACCATTCACGCACAAGTTAGCATACCTGTCCTTGGTGCTGAACACTATACATACACAAGCAAACACACCTGTCCTTGGTGCTGAACACCATTCACGCACAAGTAAACATACCTGTCCTTGGCGCAGAACACTATCCATACAAAGGCAAACATGCCTATCCTTGGTGCTGAACACCATCTACACACACAAGAAAACCGACCTAGCCTGTCCTTGGTGCTGAACACCATCCACACACACATGTAAACATGCCTGTCCTTGGTGCTGAACACAATCCACACACATGTAAACATGCCTGTCCTTGATGCTGAACACTATTCACACACAAGTGAACAAACCCGTCATTGGTGCTTAACACCATTCACACACAAGCATTGACCTGTGAGTTTTTCATATGAAAACAAACATACTTAAAACAATGCCACAAATGTTTGGGACGTGTCTTTGCGTTCAGGAATCCATAAAATCCTTATTTAAGCATTTGTACATGTGGTGAAACCAGACTATTTAGGTACATTATTCCTAATCCTTGTTGCTAAAAAGCAACATAACGACGTTACATGAGTCTACAAACCTGTGACGGAATGATTTTTGTACTTGATCTTTCCTAGAACCGACCGTTGACCCCTTGGATGACCTGCCGGACGATGACACCCCTCTGGAGATGAGCCATGCCACGTCGGCGGCCTTTCACAGGGTCTACGGCCGAACCAAGGGTACTTCAGTCATTTTCTCATAGAAACAGCTACGGCGTTTTCGTCAACCTGTAAGCAAAAGATAGGCATTTAGAAAGAAACCCCATGTCCTATATTTTCAAGTATGGAATGATCATGCACGAAAATTTGCTAAGAAATGGCAGTAAATGTCAATATCAAACAGATTTTCTTATCCAGAAATAGGACGTCCTGAAATTACACTGGATGCCTTTGAAAGCGTTTCAGTCGTATATTATCATCCTAAAACCCATCTGTCCACTTTGTGCCCAAATCCAGTCATTGTGGCGGCGCTGAAAAACTGCTACATCCAGCTGCACGCCTGCGAACACGTGATCGCCCCGGGACAGACACAGGACGGTCTGTTCAATGGCGGAGACAGGGAGCTGTGGAACTGTGGGTGCCTGGCCAAGTTCTCGTCGTAAGTATCCCACGTGACGACATAATGATTGATTGACAGGTGCATCGGACGTGATAGAACCAGAGTCAAGATTGTCCATAGCCCTGTTTCACAGTTTTTATCTCGAATTACACATAGTAATGACGAAAATCTCTGTATAAATGTAAATTATTTGAAGACATATGCAAATTTTTGGTAGGCAAATCAACCAACCGTCACCCGCTTTTTGCCTCGTATAGATCGATTCCATAGCCCCGCCCACCTCTGTTAAAACGTAGAAATACAAGACAAGAACATGAATATGCAAATATGTGACGAAAATTGACATCCTCTCTCTCATTGGTCAAGCCTTTGATTGCCATGCAATCGTTGGTTGACCTGCTAATTATGGTCGGCACCTGCAGTTGGTTAGGAATGGTTTATTTTTATGCTGAGCTGTTGGAATTGACACGGTTTCAACGTCGTATCTCTTCAACACAGGTGCATTCAAAAGTTGAACTACCCAATGAAGGCAGCACAGCGCGAGAGCTGGCACCACCCCGAGCCCAGGTGCTACCATCACGACCTGGAACACGTCTGCACCCTCAACCTGGGGCTGTTCTGCGCCCGCTGGGAGATCAAGCCGATCGCCAAGGAGCACTTCTTCGCGTCCGGCGTCGACGGCCGCTGAATGAACGACGTACGGAGACATCATGGATGGATGGATGGATGGATGGATGGATGGATGGATGGATGGATGGATGGATGGATGGATGGATGGATGGATGGATGGATGGATGAATGGATGGATGGATGGATGGATGAGTGAGTGAAAGAATGAAAGAATGAAAGAATGAAAGAAAGAATGAATGAATGAGTGAGTGAGTGAGTTAGTGAGTGAAAGAATGAAAGAAAGAATGAATGAATAAATGAGTGAGTGAGTGAGTGAGTGAAAGAATGAATGAAAGAATGAATGAATGGGTTGTATAAAACATCATATGCTATGCCAATAATCATGTTAATGTTAAAGGTTACTAGTATGTGAAAGCTTTCTGTATACTTGTTCAATTACGCTATAATTTGCATATGCTAGTTATGTGTTGACGTTTTCTGGTCTTCGAAATTGCATTTATTTGCATTGCTAAATTGCATTTGATGTATTATCATTTGCTATTGGAGTTTATTGGAGTTCAACCCCTATACTGTATGACTAGGTAACAACTAGTACATGTTACTAAATGCTATATACCATGTATATGAAATAGATAAAATGTAAAAAAAATTGAGTATGTAAGAGAATGGGGTTGGTTTTGAATGGGTGGGTTATTGATACATTTCATAAGATTGTTAATATCTCATTTTTTGACGGTCTTGAGTCTTAACGTCATCTTTAGCAGACTTTGTAAACGACAAGACAGAATCTTGACACACATGTTATATAATCTGTTAAAATGCTGGCATACGCATCATAAACAATCACTGATCACCTGTTAAATTGCATACTAGTATATAACTGCTTTATTAGCTTTTTTATTAGTTGAGCTAAAGACAGTTATGTGTACTTTAAAGTGACCAGTACCAGGGGTATATATGTGATTTTTTTGTGAATTTGGCACAAGTTCAAGAAATGCGAAATGTGACTACACATGAAAACATGTAAAAATGAGAATTTTTTGGGATCGTGGATGGGAAATTGTGGAGAGACCGACAACCTGGATGCTAAACGCTGCCCTTTTTGGCATCTTTATAAATGTGTCCTTGCCATAATTGTTCACTGTCCATTAAACTGTGCAAGGACACTTTATAATGTCCTGTTGTCTCCACTCTGTCTGACCACATTTCTGTCAGTCAAAAATCATTCTGCCCCAGGTTTCAGATAACTAAACAGTTCTGAATTGTCCACGTCATTTTATTTTTTTACAAGTTTGACGATAAAACTTCTCCAGTTTTTGCTGTAATCACATCATATTACATTTTTTTCAGTTTTTCCATCAAATTCACATAATGCAACATTTATACACCTAATAGTGATAGCTTTCATTAGTACTTATGTCTCTACCAACAGTTGAATAAATGTATTTCTGATGGTTTTCGACTTCTGTTTCTTTGGCAAATGTTAGTACTAAACGTTGGAAGTGGTAACAGCTAGCTAGATATGAGTGTAACGTAGAAGCTTTGCATAAGTCTTTACACGAGCTCCGATTCTATGTCAAGCTAATTTAGAACTGATAGGTTGAAGTACACACACACAGACACACGCGCGCGCGCGGGCGCGCACACACATACACACACTTGCACGCGCGCGCACACACACATACACATACACACACGCGCGTACACACATACACACACACACACACACACACGTACACACACACACACACACACACACACACACGCACACACACACACACACACACACACAGGCAAACGTATCTGTCCTTGGTGCTGAACGCAACATCCACACACAGGCAAACATACATGTATGTCGGTGTTGGATACCGTCCACACACATGCAACCAGACAAACCTGTCCTTGGCGCTGAACACCATCCATGCACAAACACACTGAATGTGCTGAATACATGCAAAGAAATTGACATTCAACCCTGAGAAAATGGAAAATGCGGCTTTTTTAATGTTGATCCCCCCGTAAAATACCCATCACAAACATCATACGGGATTTCCACTTCTATCAGATTGCTGTTTTCATGGCCCAGTTTTATGTCCCTGTAGTTGATTGAGCGCCACTACATAAAAACTGAACAAGCACGGCGACGTTATGTAGAGGGAAACATCAGTACGGGTAATGGAAAACACTCATCAGAGGGAATCAGACAGGGACGTTGACAAATGTGCGATAGGACGAAATCAATCTTCCGCTTCCTTGTCCCTCCATACGTACAGATTGTCCCTCAAAGAGCAAGAACGATAAAGGCACAAAGGCATCAAATTCGATTTCAGGGCAGCAAAACTGGAAATATGTTGAATAAGGCAATCGTTGTGATATTGGCACATATTGCTTCACATTAGTACGTTTGAGTCACCATTTCAAACTCTGGGCATTTAAAACTGCAGAAACAAGTCCCAAAATTAGTCTTTTATTTTCTGGGTGGCACCATAAATATCAGCCCAGAGCCCCTCCAGTAACAATTTTCCGTCAGAATTTTGGGTAGTTTTGCTCCATGAGGGTCAATATACCTTGGGATAGTGTGGTTTCAACTCAGTGCTATGTAGATAAATGACTAGAATGTTGGTTTTGAAAAATCGGGTTTCCAAGTCCTAAAAACTGCATTGGATTTATATATTTTAATTAAAGTGGGGTTATGTAAGATGTTTGTACCAAAATTTTAACATTTTAATTGAAAATGTCTTCTTCCTGTGATTGTTATTTACTTCCACTCACTGATTCAACTTACTTTTATTTACAACTGAAACTGAAAGAAATGACCAGAAAATTTACTTCACTTCTCATATCATACGCTTCCTATTGTTAGGTAATGCATTTTTTTTATTAAAACATATATAAAGAAATACAGACACGATGACGGCGTACTCAAGTTGGCTAACTTATATTAACGCCGCCATCAAACAATAAACTTAATACAAAAATAAAGCAATACATACACTAACAAACAAATATAATACACAAAACAAGAATAAGACAGATGGGGTTTGAAAAAAGAATGAAGCTAAGAAAACTAAAAGCGCAGGTCCTTCCCCCCTCCCACCCTTACTAATGGTATCCATGGTTGTGATTGGTAGGACACACCAAAGAAATAATGATAATGATAAATTAGGTTGAAGCAAAGCGTTTACTTGAAATAGTAAAATTTTGAGTTAGAACCATTATTTGACAATTAATTTTGAACGTAAATGAAGGGGATCCATAAAGTAGAAGTTGTTCGAGAGCATTGTCGGAGAGTGAGTTTTTGTCAAGGAGGTGTCCTACCAATGATTCAAGTTGGCCGAAGAGACGCTGTCGTTGATAACTGTATAAAGGGCAATGAAGTAAGAAATGAGATATGGTTTCGCATTGGCACCCGCAGCTGCAAGCCGGGCTGTGAACTAACGTACGGCTGAAAAGGCTGGCGTTCAAGCTGCAGGTGCCAATGCGAAAGCGTGCTAAAAGGGCAGAGGCATATCGGGGACCATAACTGAAATGTTTGACTTTGGTGGGGCATACAGATTTAAGTAAATGCATTCGAAACAAAGAATAACTAAGACTTCTTTGTCAGTTACATCACAAGTTTGAACTGAGCAAAATCTCCATGCGCCAAAAGATTTTGAACTTCTGAAACTAACTACAATGGGTACGTAGGATTCTGAATCGATGCTTCACCGAGTCACGGCCTGGGAAACAGTGCGAGACCATTACAGCAATGGACTCTGACAGGTTTTTGCCAAACGTGATTCATTCACAATTTGTATCTGTAGAACACACGTAGCTTCTAGTCTCTCTTTTTTTTATATTCCAACATTTCATGGCTAGACATGGTGACAGAACCCTCAAGTTATATCAACTTAATTTATGCCGCCACCAACGCAGAGGACGAATACAGGACAAGACAATACTCATTTTCACTTGAGTTAAGTGAGGAAAATATAGTGCCCTTCCCAAGGGCACAAGATCGGTGACCTCTTGGTTCTGTGCCGAGCACGCTGCCGCTACGCCACACGACCCCAACAAAGAGCTTCTACTCTCTTGGCAAGGCACTTCACAGAAATCGGTAGGCCGAAGCAGGTCAGCTGTCCCCTAAAAACATCCAGTACAGTGTGGTTTTTGCCCGCCGTTCGATCGGATACCCCTGGCAAGTCTAACGGGAACCGGTTGAGGTCACTCCGTAATTTCTCTTGCCTTAGACCCGTTACCTCAAAACGGTCACGACACTCCAGGGCGATCTCTAGTAATCAGTTTCCAGTTCCCCAGCAAGTCTGGTCAAGATCAATCAATCAACACTGTGCAGTTCAGAGGCTGTTCTAGGACGAAAAGGAAATAAAACAAAAGACAAGCTTCAAAATTATATAGCAAGTTTGTACAGTAATTTCCAACACAAGAACTTGGACTTACCCGAATTTTCGTCTGCACAGTTCCAGTCTTTGTCGAGAAATGAGCGATCCAACGCTTCTGTGATTTCACGTTTGGCCACAGCAATTAAATTTTATGGATGACATCCTCCGCAGACTCCAAATCTAATGCTATAGATTTGCGAAAATGCTAATGCGAAATAACAGGGCGAACCTTATGCAGATGACACGAGTGGTGGATCATAGGTTTCAGATAGACTGTGGCGCCCCCCGTCTTTGTTGAAGGATTGGTGCAATGGTGTGATGTAGACAATTTCTTGTTTCATTCTTTGTTGTGTATTATTGTGCAAACAAGACAGGAAATGGGATAACCTTTTCTGGGACCCTTGACCTAACTTCCCGTCAGGGTGTCTCCGACGTCCCTAGCATGTGGAAATCACTACGGAAAACATTCAAGCAAACACACAAACAGACACACCGCAACCAAAACCTCCGTACATTGAGGTACGAGCAAGATAGTGCCATGTGCGACAGAGAAAAAGCAAAAACCAATCTCATCAATAAGGAACGCCATCATTTTTACAAATGCTCCCTTATGTCTCATCATGCAAGGACGAGACAAGATAAATCCATTTCTGTAAGACCAAATGAAACACCCGTCTGTCCATCTAGACACATAAATCTTCGCCAA